TGTTTATAGCTTATTATAATAATTGTACATGTTTATAAATAAATAAATAAAATAAAAATAAGTCAAAGTTAAAAATGAGGTTTGCATCACAGAGAGTCGCCCTATAAAGTGGGGAATATTCGAAGGAGATAGCCTTAGACCACTGTGGTTCTGTCTCGCCCTTAAACCCCTTAGTAGCATGCTTAACAGTAGCCAACACGGATACAAAATAAATCCAAACACCACAATCACGAACCTTTTCTATATGGACGACCTTAAACTTTATGCTAGAGGACCTGACCAACTTGGCAGCTAGTGAGAAACGGTAGCAGCTTTTAGTGGGGCAGTCCACATGGAACTGGGAATTGATAAATGTGCAGCAATTGAACAGGAATACAAATATCTGGGAATTGAACAAGCATTTAACATCAAAGAAGCATCAAACGAAGAACGGGTTAAAGATTTTTCCGCAGATTAAATATAGTACTGACAGCCTGTTTAAAATCAAAAAACTGTTTGCAAGGGGGATATGAGTGCAGGACAACACCTGCACTCATATTTACACGTGGTATTCTATCGTGGTCTACCACTGAGCTAAAGCATCTGGATGAAAAAGTCAGGACAAGACTTACTAAATACAGAATCAAGTCAAAAATCTGTCCTGGAAAGGTTATATTTACCAAGAAGTGATGGAGAAAATCCCTCTTATAAATCTTGAACTTGCGCACCTACAACAAAAAGGAAGCCCCATCAAATATTTTCGTTGCCAAACTCTCTACTACCATATGAACCATTATCAATGCAGACAAAAATTTGAGTGCATTAAATTTATCGCAACAACTAGTAGAAACATACAAAGCAAAGAGACTAAAATCTGGCTGGATGCAAAAACACTCAATGGGAGGTTCTCTGCGAGTACCGAACATCAGGATGTATGCAAGATTGTGTCAATCCGTGCTTCAGGTAGGTACCAAGGAGCCTTGGCGATGATACAATATCAAGTAATACTAACAAGGACATATAGAAAATACACGCTAAAAGAAGACGTACTTCCTACAACGACATATCGGTTAAGTTGTCCTGCCCAGGAAAGTATACAACGCATCAGACTTCACACCACTAGCACCAATCACATACCTTAGCAAACACGATGACATGTGGAAAACTTTACTTCAAGCACTATGTTTTAAAAACAAACTGCTACACCTGACTACAATAAAAATTTAAGAAGTCATACAAGAAACATCAGAAGAAGCATATTAACAGTTGGTCCCTGACGACTTAACTTGTTAACGACTTATTTACAACAACAAAATTGAATATTTAAACTTCCCTTTGTTTAAAATCCCAAAGGGCGTACAAGATAAGTGATCTATGTCTTCAGATGGCGATGTAACATACCATCAGGAACATTATTGTAGACCCGACTATTTAATTTGTTTAAGAACTTATATTCGAAAAAAAAAACAGTTAAAATATCATCTAGCCATCATCTATTGAATAATTTTGTAGATTTCAGTATTTTTCCGAAATGCTACTAAGATAATCAACTACAAAATTACAATAATTGTTGACTAGTTATTCAACAATCCGATAAAAGATTATTAAGCTCAAATACCATTTCTATTTCTAATTAACTAAAACTAATAATATCCCCTTATTAACCTAAAACCAACAGTATAACAGTAAGAGTCGACTCGAAATGCATCGGAAGTCATTAAACTGAACAATTAAGCTGGTTTCTTTGACAAAAAGAAAACGGAACAAAAAATTTAGATCTGCTTATTATAATTTTACATTTCGCGAGTCATATAATTGGCCATACTACTTTTGCCTAACGGTAGTTCGAGTACCCACTTCAACTCGGATTTCGTGATCTTATAAGTATATAAAAATAGAGAATAACCTTTTATCGGAAATGTCTTATGGAGAGAAAAGATCAAATAAAAGACATTTTATTGAACGAGATTGGGAAAAGAAAAAAATAAGACACTCAAGTCGATCGGTTTAACTTGGAGTAATTTGGAACAAGAAATAAAAGCAAAAATGGAGCAAATATCAAAGAAAAGAAATTTTCAGTAGGTATATTATTTTGTCCTTCTCATATATATTTTCATCGCAAGCAGCCTTTTCAACTTATTAATAACTATTTCATACAGTAACAATAAAAAAGAAGAGGAAATAAACTGAATATTACCAGTAGTGTTGCGAACTACACAGCAGTTGCCGTGTTCATTTCGGAGACATAAAGTAATTTTAGGCAAATAATAATTTGCCTAGATATTACAAACCATTTATATTTTGCTATCTGCCTATATATGATAACTGGCGTTATCCATAACAAGACAGAGCTTTCTGGAAGTAATGTTATCATTTCGGATAAGTAATCTTCAAAAACATCAGCCGTCATTTGTTCATGATAATCCTTGGTGGATTTAAATTGCAGTAGTTCATTCTGTACGAATCCATTATCCCACCAATATGCGTTATAATTCACCTGCGTCTTTTCGCGGAAGGGACTTTCAAATCAGTCGACAATCCTTCTAAAATCGCTTTACAAGAACTCCCAATGCTATTGTCTTGCAAGATTTTCTTAATAGAATGGCCTTCGTTAACCATGTTTCGTCTAGATAGAAGATAGATTTTCCTTTCCTGCGATATTTACGAATGTCCCTTAGATATTGCCTTCTCCAGGCAATATAAATCATAGCCTATATAATCCAACTCCCGTAATATTTTAACGTTTTTTAACTAGACTTCTCACAGTAGCCGAAGCATTTTGATGAAGAGAAAACAGTTAGTCTGGCATGGATATGTCCAACGAGTGAAAAAACGCGACTGCGAGAAGAAACATTGGTGTGGATTCCGAATTTTAAAGGAACAGAAGACGGCCGTTTTGAGCTATTTACAAAAAGGCCCATTCGTGCGTTCATCTTTAAAAGGTGCCTCATAAAATCAACTTTCCGTTGAAGAAAGCCTCGAATCTCCGTTTTTCTTGCCAGATCTATGCACTTATGTTCTTCTCGTCTAGCTTTGCGACAAACTCACCATCGTCAACTTCTTTCAAATATCATCTAATATATGGATCTGAGATATGAACATTGAGAGAAAGAAACACAAAAAGGTTAAAGCAACAGAAATGGATGCGTTGTGAAGATCAGCTAAAAAATCGAAACTAGAAAAAATAAGAAAGATGAGAGTTGATATCAGGAGATTTGATGTCAAATGGGAATAGAATAAGACACTATCATGACGGATATTGAGAGAAAACAGTTAATCTGACATGGATATATCCAACGAATGGAAAAAACACGACTGCGAAAAGAAACAATGGTGTGGATTCCGAATTTTAAAAGGAAAAGAAGGCGACCGTTTTGAACTATTTACAAGAAGATCCATTCGTTCGTTCCTCTTAAAAAAGCGCCTCATAAAATCAACTTTCCGTTCAAGAAAGCCTGGAATCTACGTTTTTCTTGCCAAATTTATGCACTTCTGTTCTTCTTGTCTACCTTTGCGACAAACTCACCATCGTCAACTTCTTTCAAACATTGTCTAATATATGGATCTGGGATATGAACATTGATAGAAAGAAATAAGAAAAGGTTAAAGCAAAAGAAATGAATGCGTTGTGAAGATCAGCTAAAATATCGAAACTAGAAAAAATAAGAAGAAAGATGAGAGTTGCTATCAGGAGATTTGATGTCAAATGGGAATAGAAGACACTATCATGAAGAATATTGATAACAGTTAATCTGGCATGGATATGTCCAACGAATGGAAAAAAACACGTCTGCAAAAAGAAACAATGGTGTAGATTCCGAATTTTAAAAGGAAAAGAGCAAGACATATTCGAAAACGAATTGGATAGAAGGAATCCGTTTTGGATTATTTAAACAAGACCCATTCGTCACTGTTTAATAGCCTCTAATAAAATCAAGATTGCGTTGAAGAAAGCCTCCAATCCGCGTTTTTCTTGCCATATTTATGCACTTCTCTTCTTCTCGTCCACCTTGGCGACAAGCGACAAACTCATCATCGTCAACTTCTTTCAAAAATCATCTAATATATAGATCTGGGACATGAATATTGACAGAAAGAAACAAGAAATGGTTAAAGCAATAGGAATGTATGCGTTGAGAAGATCACCTAATATATCAAGACTGCAAAAATTAATAAATAAGGAGATTCAATATCAAATAGGAATTGAAAGCATTGTTGTAAAGAAAGCAGTTGGATATGTCCAAGAAATAGAAAAACACGAAAAGAAAAAAAACACGACTGCCAAAATAAATAATGGAATGGATACCGAATTTGAAAAGGAAAAGAGGACGACCGCAAACGAACTGAATAAGAATCTGTTATGAGTTATTTACAAAATACCCATTCGTTCCTCTTGCAAAAGCCAGTGATCAAAAGTCATCTAATATGTGGATCTGGGGCATGAAGATTGGTAGAAAGAAATAAGAAAATGTTGCTAGAATATTGAGACTACAATAAATAATAAATGGAAAGATTCGATGTCAAATGGGAATAGATGGCACTGTTGTAAAAAATATTAGAAAAAAGCAGTTAATCTGGTATGGATATGACTAACGAATAGAAAAAAAACACTGCCAAAACGAACAATCGAGTGTATTCTGAATTTTAAAAGGAAAAGGGGAGGATCGGTAAAGAATTGAATAAAAATCCTTAAAGCTATGAGTGACAGAAATCTACAAGCAGAGCAGTGCCAGTGGAAAAATCAAAAACAGTGGAATCTAGACATCGGACAACATCAACGCAGGTTTTAAACCGATGTGGCCGTGATGAATTAAAGCTTAATGACACTTATTAGGGCATGTTCTTTTTCTATCATTCGTCCCTCTTAAAAAAGCCTCTAATAAAATCAACTTTCCGTTGAAGAAAGCCTCGAATCTCCGTTTTTCTCGCCATATCTGTGCACTTCTCTTCTTCTCGTCCACCTTGACGACAAACTCACCATCGTCGACATCTTTCCGACGAAAAATATAGGCCAGTGTGCGGCCGAAACGGGGGCCCACCACGCTCAAGCCGTGGCTCCACAGCAGCCGCGGCACCAGTTGGAATCGCGGACTGCCACAGGCAGCCCAAGAGGAAGCAGCAGGCGAGCAGAAAGTGAAGAAGGTGACAAGTCGCGAGTTCCATCCTCCTGCGATCCGTCGAAAGATCGGAGATAGATCAGTGCGAATCGGGATATTATCGATCGAAGAATCGATTATCGGGACTAACGAAGAGGACGGAAAGGGTATTTTGTGAAGAAAATGAGGGTTGGTGGAAAAATTATCAATTCAGGAGGAAGTATGATGGGGGTGGTGTTCCTGATAATTCTTGGATACAGTATAAAAGGTAATGTAGATGTTTTTACCCTGTATTATTTTTTTTTCAAAACAGTTTGTTCAAAATATTTATAGAGAAAAAATCCAGAAAGTAGCAGTTAAATGTATTAACTCTAAATCTTTTTTTTTCATTTCAACTAATTTTTCTTTATTTTTAATAAACTGCTGAAATTAATTTTTTCCATAAATTTATATGCTTGTTTTTTTTTTCTTTCGATTTAATAAAAATATACTCGTATTTAAAGAATATGCCAAGAAGTAACACAAATTTCTGTGTGCCAAAAAATACACTCAGATGCAAAAAAAAACGCAACGGAGGTTTTTTCGTCAAGTTTGAAGTGTTATATATTTTTTACTTTTAGTCCTATTATAATGACTTTTTTAGCAAGCACTGTATATAAATCAACTTGAATTCATAAACTCAGTTTTTTTATCAATTTAGTATTTGGCTTATTATACAAGGTTAATTGAAGGGTTGTTTTTTTACCTTTACTTTAAAACACCCTGTGCAATAGTTTCGTTATTTAACTGTGATTAACTATGTCTCCTGAGCATTTTCCTTTTTTATTCATGTCAATACATACCCTGGTTAATTTTTAAGAGCATAATAAACTTGCCACCAATAATTTGCAAAATTTTCAACTATCATAATTTTATAATGTTATTTTTTAATATAACGAGGTGGCTTTGGTAATTATTGTCGTAATGTCATATCGATCTCTATATTAAAATTTAAAAAACGTTAAAAAGTAGAGATATTGCTGTATTAGTAAAACTAACAAAACTAAGGATATTAAAAAAATAACATAAATGTAAAACAAAAAAAAATACTCTAATACTTAGTATTGCCTCCCCCGGCTGCTATAACTGTCTGTAGACATCGGTTCATACTGTTAATGAGGGTGCAAATATATTGTGTTTTGTTTTCCCATTCTTCTTCAAGGACCAAGCGAATATTCATAATTTCGGTCATCTTCAACGAGATCAATGACTTTTGCAGAATCTTCGACACTTAGAACCATATTTAATCGTACACAACAATAATCACCAAAGCCACCTCGTTATTATGATGAATAACAACAAAAAGTAACGATAATTAAAAAAATTGCAAAATGTTTGTGGCAAGTTCATTTTTCAAAAGTTCAAGTAAAAAAACAACATATTCAGGAAACATGGTTCTGACCGAAAAATAATGTTTTTGGAGAATTAATGATTTGTAATGGTGATAAAGCAAAGCAAGAATTTCCATTAACATACAAACTGGATAAAATTTTCTCTCATTTATGTCAGCATGAGAAAAAACAATATGGCGATATTATTATATAACTTGGTAATATTTGAGGGGTAGTTTCATCTCGTTGGAATTTGACTTTCGAAAAATCCGTTTGCCAAAAATAAGCTTTTTACGTCAAGCAGTTTAAGCAGAATCGTGGTTAAGAAATTACCCAACTTTTTGGAACACCCTCTATGATTTTTTAAAAAATTTCAAAATATGTAAAAAAAACAAATAAATTATGCTTATCCAAGCGTTTTCCCGAAAGACTAACCGTTTTTTAAATAACAAATATTGTAATATTCGAGGGGCGTTTTCATCCTCTTGGAATTTGAGATTCGAGAAACCCCTCCTTATCGAACCTCTACACCCCACAGTCAATCCGTTTGCCAAAAATCAGCTTTAAACGTCAAGCAGTTTTTAAGCAGAATTGTGATTGCTCAATGGTCATATTTTATGAAACACCCTGTATAAATTTATAAAAAATCTTAAAATATGTAAAACAACAAAATAAAATATACGTGTTTAAGAGTTCTTCCGAAAAACTCACCGGTTTTTAAATAAAAAATATTTTAATATTTGAGGGATAGTTTCACCCCCTTATAATTGTAGTTTTGAAAAATCCCTTCTTATCGAACCTCTACACCGTAAAGTCAAACTGTTTTCAAAAATCAGCTTTTTACGTCAAGCGCTTTAAGCAGGATCGTGATTAATCAATGACCAGATTTTTCGAAACACCCTGTATACATTTTTAAAAAATCTTAAAATATGTAAAAAAACAAAATAAAATATACCTGTTTAAGCGTTTTTTCGGAAACTTGACCGTTTTTTAAATAAAAAATTTTGTAATATTTGAGGGGTGGTTTCACCCTCTTGGAATTGGAATTTCGAAATATCCCTTCTTATCGAACCTCTACACCCTAGAATCAACCTGTATGCCAAAATTGAGCTTCTTAAGTTCAGTAGTTTGAGCAGGATCGTGATTAATCAGTATGTCAGTCACTTAAGGATTTTATATATTAGTATAGATTATTATTATATTTTTTTAGAGTCATTGCTTTTTGCTGTTTTAAAATGTCAAAGAAGCACAAAAATTATTTAGTTCAATGTTACAGAAAGGGTGATACAAGTTATTGGAAAGGGTGATGCTATATTATTAGCAATTAATTAAAAGCAAAAATATGACGTCAATAAAAATTAATAGTAACCATCTATCAAAGTGTGAATAAGAAATTATATTACCATAGAAATGCGTTTTGATTTTGAGGGCTTTTTTTCTAAAATAGAAAAGCATGAAAATACCAAAACAAGATCAACCATTTTAGAACAAGAATTTTTTTTTATAAAAAATGTATTTTTCTCAAAATAATAATTAAAAAAAAAGTTTATTATCTTGTATAGACGCTCCGAGAACATACTTAATATATGTTTTGTCATAATCAAAGCGATTGACTTACCCTCTTTTAGATTTAAATCAAAAAATGTATTTTTAGTCTAAAAGAAAATAGAAATGGATGGACATGATTTGAGCAACCGCTAACAATGTGAAAACAAACCTTCTATTGATTTTTGCATTCACAAACACTCACGTGCATATAAATTTTGTATTTCTAACATTATTCTAATCCGTGTACCTGTTAGTTATATTTACCAAGACATTACAGATAGGCATTATATCGCTTTTATTTACATTTAAATTACCGTCGGACATAAATTCTACATGACTGGCATATACAGGATGTCTCAAATATATGCACACTTAACAGGAGTTTTAAAAATTCATAAAAATACTGGCCAGTATAAATAGAGTTGTTAAAGTACTGTAATGTTGTTAAAGTACCGTATGATCAGAAAACGGCATAGTAGTATCTTTTAAGACAACAATCTATAATAATTTTGTCGGTTTTCATTTTTTTTTCTTTATATATTAATGTTTGTTAAGTTCTTTTGTCAATTATTAATGTATAATATTTGGAGGTCGACCAGGCAAAAATGATCATCAACTTCAGTTGTAATAGCCACCATGACGTCGTTTTTTTGTCATATATTATATCCAGTCCACTACCAGCAAGTTGTAATAAGAACACTTGAGCAACATTAAGAATACCTACATAATGTTAAAGAACCTTTTTGTTAATTTAACCTGTGTTGTCTGTGGCTGATAAATCTATTGTTAATAACATACAGTAATTACCGTATGATTCTAATAAATACCGAAAAAAAAACGATGTCAGCGATGGCTATGAAATGAAAATCGCTGTCATTTTATATGTAAAATTATATGGAGAACGTCAATGATAGTCATTTCCAAGCCAACTGGACGCCGTTTTTTTTTTTCGATCATATGGTATTAATAATTAAGTCATTTGAAATAGTATTTGGAATCTGTGAGTCGTAAACCCTGTAGTATTTTACAAAAAAATATTTATTTTTAAAATTTTATATTGCGGTAACGATATATACTAAAGTTTTGTAGTAAAGTGTATTTTATCATTCATATCTAGGACACCCTGTATCTTCAGTGTCAGCAGTAGCAACCACGGCAGCTGGTCTGCGTCCTCATACCGTTTTCCGTAAAAATCAACGAACTGTATAAGAGAATTTTTATTTTCTCTTGTAAATATTTCGCCTTGTTTCAAAAAAAAACAACGTCCGTTGCCGAAAGGCAAATTCCGTTAATAAAATGGCCATGAGGGACGTCCAAAAATATCGATATTTATTAATATCAATATTCAAATAAAAATCAATATGTAAATAGCCAATACTGATATTTCTACTCGTCTTTCTATTACATATCTAGAATATATTTCAATTTCTCTATCAAAATATAAATATGGTAGACCATTTTAGCTAATTGACAATACTCCCGGCAGATTCACTTTTAAAACTACTAATATTCTAGTTCAAACATTCTGAAATACTCACTCACATTTAAAATGTTTTAGATCGTCATTTACAAATCCAATCTGATGGTGTCTTTTATAGATCGTATAGTATATCGATATTTTTCCTAAATTGCCCATCCCTAGTAACCTGTGATAAATGATAAACGTCGAAAAATGTGTCTCACGGCCCACAAAAAACGCCAGAGCTACAACAGTTACGAAAGCAGTCGTGAAATTACCGTAAAAAATGTCATTTAATCTCATAATGGGCTCCGGACATCGTAAAAGAAGCGGCATTTTATAAGAAGCTTGTTTTAAAGTAATTATTATGAACGTCATTTTATTGTAAAATTAAGGTAGCGGTTCAGAAATGTTTAATGGAAAACTTTACGTTGAAGAATAAAAAATAAATATAACATTTGTCAACAGGGTGTTAAAAGTCCCAGTATAGGTTTAGCCACAATAAAAATCGTTAAAATACGTAAAGAGATTCGTAATTGGAATATCACATAAGCTTGTAAATGCATTTCAAATATTTTCGACAAATGCTTACAATTTTTCTGAGACCCAAGAGCCAAAAACAGGTAATTTTTAGCTAAATTCCCAAAAAATCGTTCAAAATCAAGTGTTCAAAAAATAATTTCCAAAATTTTATAACGATATCTACTAAAGCTGTGAGAGCCCTGGAAATGTGAAGAATAGGATATTTTTCGACTTTTTTCAAAAAAAAATCAAAATTGGTGACTTTGGAAGTTATCGATTTTGATAAAATTACTGACATTACATAATAAAATTTAAAATTGTCTATGTCGACTGCATATACCATTTTGACTTTACAAGGGTTCAAAAAAT